CATCCCAAGACAAATTTCACTACAGGATTTTTTTTTTTTTTAAATAACCTGCGAATATTCTTGAAATTGCCGTAGAGAAGGTAATGTCATATAAGACATGGAAATATACATATTCAGGTAGAATCAAGCAACTTATCTAGCGATCACCTATTTCAGCTGGGGGAAGAAATATCATGAAGTTCAATAAAGATAAGTGAAAAGTCCTGCTCTTAGGATAGAACAATCCCATGCTCCAGGACAGGTTAGGGACTGACTGCCTAAGCAGAAAAGGACCTGGGGGTTACACTGGAAAATAAGCTGAATATTAGCCAACAGCGTACCCACTTTTTAAAATTTAGTTTCAAGAGCAAAATTAGTTCTGAATTCTATTGGGCAAAGCCCAATTGTCTAGTTCCAAATTTCAACTGTCAATCGTGCAAGTCTGTGGCTCTACCACTAGGCAAGTATCCTCCTTCCCACACCGATCAGTCTGGGGCTTCAGATGCTTCCCAGATCTGTGGCTTCAGATGCTCCCCAGATCTGTGGCAGGTATTCTATATGCAAGACCAGGGCTCAGAGACCCTGGCGTTTGTATGTCCCCATGTCTCATTTTCTCCTAGCCAAAAAGCCAGGGAGCAAGCCATGAGAAAAAACAAGAAAGCGGTTTCCCATTGCCACAAAATTGTGTAGTTGGGTTTCCCGCATTTAGGGAAACTTGCAAGGAGTCAGCCTGCTTAGAGTGCCATGGACAGGTCTCACTCTGGGAGAACCACCTTGGGGAAAATCACAGGGGTCAGCATGCCCTGAGAGGGACAGGCCTTACCCTGAGAAAGCAATCTTGTTGATCGTAGTGTCTCCCCACCTTGCTGATCATGGCATCTCTCCTGAAGAAGGCTAAAGACAATACTGGGCTGCATTAGTAGGAATATTGCCAGCAGATGAAGGGAAGTGATTTCTCTCTATTTGGCACCGGTGAGGCCACATCTGGAGTATTGTGTTCAGTTCTGGGCTCCCCACTACAGAAAGGATGTGGACAAATTGGAATGTGGACAAAGTCCAGCAGAGGGCAACGAAAATTGTTAGGGGGCTAGTGAACACGACTTATGATGAGAGGCTGAGTGAGCTGGGCTTATTTAGTCTGGAGAAGAGAAGACCGAGGGGATTTAATAGTAGCCTTCAAATACCTGCAGGGGAGTTTGAAAGAGGATGGAGCAGGACTGTTCTCAGTGGTGGCAGATGACAGAACAAGGAGCAGCAGAACAGTCTCCAGCAAGGGAAGTTTAAATTAGGTATTAGGAAAAAAATGCTCACTAGGAGGGGAATAAAGCACGCTAGGAGAGGAGTAATACTCACTAGGAGGGGAATAAAGCACGCAAACAGGCTACCTACCCAGAGAGGTTGCAGAATCTCCATCTTTAAGGTTTTTAAGATCCAGCTAGACAAAGGCTTGGCTGGGATGATGTAGCAGGGATGGTCCTGCTTTGATTTGGGGATGGACTAGATGACCTCCAGAGGTCCCTCCCTACCCTAGTTTTCTATCATCTGGTCATAGAGTCATTTTACAGAAGGGAACAAGCAGGCAACAGCACTACAATGAATGCATCAAGAAGGTCCCTAGAGAATGCTGCGAGTGTTTTCCAGTCAGAAGCAAAACCCAAGCCTTTCTGCAGGGAGTGAAAATTTTAGCAAATGTAATTAAAAAAAAAGAAAAAAAAAGAGTAAAATAAAAAGCAAACTATTTCAAAGGATAAACAAATGGTTCCTTTCATCAGAACAGACCTTTTCAAACTTTAACTAAAACAAAATGTAGAATAAAAAAAAGAAAAAAAAAAAAGAAAAAAAATGTGGTTTTAGCAAAACAGAAAAAACAAAAAACACGCCTCCCACAAAACAGGAAACCTAAATTCCACTCTGAGGAAATTTTTCACAAGTTTTTTTTCCTCAGTCACAATTTCAAAATGTCTCTCCTTCGATGAAGATGATCTGTGTGTACTGGGTTGACACTAACAATTTAACCCTGGTCCACACATTGTGAAAGTGAATTTGGTAAATATTACCACACTTCCTTACTAGGAAATAAGTATTGCTGAATCACTGCAATACTTACTGCAAGACTGAGAGGAAAAATGCCCATGTAACAAATTGGTGTCTCTCCCTTCCTCACTTCTCCTAAGGTGTCACCATTTGGGACAATTGCCTTGGGAAAAAGATCAGAGAAGCCCCAGATGGTTGAAATTAATACAATAGAGAGAACGTTGTTTTAAGGGCAAAGAAAATCCATCTGATAGACTCCATATTTTTTGTTGTTTTTTCCCCACTGGATCTCAAACTCAACAGTAACAAAAATACCAGATGTTCCCATGCCACTGGTTTGCATCTCTTCTACCTACCTACATATTAACATTTAGATCTCTAGGGGTGGTGACTTTGGTCTCACCTAAAAGTGCAGACCATTTTGCTGGTGGGCTGTGCCCATGAATCCCAATCGGTCATCAAGCAGGCTACGTCTTTCCCAAACTTACCAAGTAGCAGGTGAGCTGTGCTCAGTACAGCAGGTGCTCTCTCACCAGTATTCCTTCCAATATCCTTTTATTTTTACTTCTGATGTCATGCCCTATTTTCATGGGTTCCATAGATTTAGCTCATTTCCATGAGCTAACTCTCCATCTCCGAAAGGCATGTCATTTTGCATTGGGGGCCCCCCATCATGGACAGCAGGTAGTGCTATGGGAAAGAAACCAGCCTAATTTTGCTTTACATTATGAAACTGGTCTGACTTTTGTCCCAAGATGAAACTGGAGCCAAATGAGGGTTACAAACATAGGAAGATGATTCAAACGTCCTCATAATTTTTCAACATTTGGGAGCTGTCACGTGAAACTCATTACTGTGCAATACACTGTAGGTTAATTTTTAGGAAACCTCATCACAGTATGTTTTGCAACAAAGCTTCAATGTATTATTTTTGTCTTGCCGTTCCCTTCCCAACTATTAACGTAACTTCTTAAAATTCAAAGGCTAATGTCCTGCAGAAGCCAATAAAAAAAACTTTCCCCTTCCTTATGGGCTTACCACTTGCCAACTGCACTCACTCCAAACTGGTTCCCATTACACAAAGATGCAGCATGCTTTCCCCAGTTTTTTGATTCTTTGCCATACTCATTCAGGACAAGAACCATCTAGTGCACCATCTCCTTTTATGTTATGTGTTGCTGACCGCTCTTTCAGTAGCACATCCTTTGGAAGTCTTGGCACTTCAGCAATACTGAAGAGGGAGCCTTCTCTTGCTACCGATGGGCTTGATGCACCCCCTTGAGAAATCATGCAACAGATGCGTGATGATAAACACACACAATAAAAGATGAGACAAGCAGTGCTGATTTTACAATCCTGGAATTTAATTACTTCAATGCGTGTGCCTCCTCATTGCCCAACCTCCCATCTAGAATATGCTGATGTCAGGAAGCATATACATTTCCAAAACATGATCATGAACAAAACATCATCAGCAGTTTCCATTTCCTTTTTAACATAGGTGTTCTAGCTTGTTAAGCATGTTCTTAAAAAAAAGAGGGGGAAGGGGTGGAAGAAACCGACACAAGACAAAAAAAAATGTTTGCAGTGATGTGGAAAGCGGCTAGGTTCAGCTAATGAGTCCAGAAAAAAATGAAAGAAAACAGCACCTCACCAAAAAAGGGGAAAAAATAAAAAATAAAGACAGTAGCAGAAAGTGCAGCTATTTAAATCAACCTTGCTTAGATCAGAAATGATACAAGACCAGACACTTCCTGATTTGTGTCATTTGGAATTGGTTTGAAACAGCACCAGAAAAATCTGGTCTATGCTGCATTGCTCCTGCAGAACAAATTAATGTATTACAAAAAAATAGCACGAAGCTACAACATGCACATACTCCTTCCCCCACCCACCTGCTTCTAAAGTTCAACTAAAAGGCTGTAGACCATTTCACTCTCCCTTAAAAAACAACAAGCCTGCCTGGGACACCGCATATTTAAAGAGACAGCAATTAAAAATATAAAACATGAAAAAGAATATAAGTAAAGGACACATTACAAAAATACTGAAATAATTAACTCAGCAACACTGAGGGTATGCACATGCACAACACACACTAGAAACATTGCTCTTCTTGTTAACTCAAAGACCCAGCAACAAAACGAACATAAACAAGGTTCCCCACACACCCAACATGTAACTTGCATTGTTCCAGATAGATTCATTTTGCACCTACTCAAGTTAGTCTTGCTAGCCGTTCCATGTTTCAATTAAGGTGACCTGGGTTCTTGACAGTTTAAGATGAAATAAAAATATTTCATAGCAATCCTGTGGGTGAAACTGGTAATTCTGTAATATTACAGAAGTAAGTCTTTGCTCAGCTCCTGCAACGAACTCACTATTACTCTGCATCACAAGCTCCAAGTGCAGGATATTACAAGCCTAACTACAGGACTGTGCATCAAACCCAGTCCTAACATGTTATGGCACTAATACACACTGACTTTCCAGAGTTGCTTAGGGACAACAGCTTGCCACGCAGTACAGAAATGTTGTTTTTGTGCTCAGATGGAAGCGATTTTATAGGATAAGCCTTTTTTTCTTTTTTAAATAATGGAGCGGGAAGTGGTTCCACGAATTTGCCAGTTTCACCACAGGGAGTTCTTTGGCTAAGGCAGAGTGCAAAAATCGGGCCCAGTGTTTCAGAGCACCATGTGAACAAGAGGATATTGCAGGTAGAAGAGAGGAGCATTGAGGAGATGTTCTATGATAACAAAGATCAACATCGTGCAGCTGTTTCTGGTTTGTCCAAGTGAGCTGCAAGGGGCATAAAAACATTTGTCTTGCAAAAAGCACGCTTTTTGCATAGCAAGGACAGTTGCTGGATTTTGTCCAGTGTCTCCCAGACTGGTAAAATCCTTGCTTAAGGAGAACATACATGCAGGTCACTTATATGCAAGTTATGCCAGAGAACTCTTCATGCAGTGTGCATGAGAAATAAGCTTTAGGTAAAGTGCAGAACCAACAAAACATTTATAACTGTAGCAATGAACAGCCATCAGCATGCCCTAAAGTAATACACCATGTTAAAAAATACCATTTTCCATAGGAAAAGAAGTGTTGTCTATATTAAAAAGCCCAGGAGCAAATCCAGGAGTAGGAAAAAGGGCCCTAGACAGAAGCAAACAATCCAATCCAGACTTAATAAAAGAAGCATCTCCCGGCTTAGTAGACAAGTCCCCTAATGAAATAGGCTCTGAAGATAGTACAGGCCAGGTTACAATACTCCATACTGTGTTACTGGCCAGCTAAAAATTGCTAATCTTTACAATGGAATAAAGATTCTTTCTTGCAATGAAATCATTGTATAAAAAAAGTTGTATTTATGTGGAGTTTGATCATCTCCCTGTGGTACCTTCAGTGCTGTGCAGCTCTTGTCTTACGCTTGCTTCCATCTTTCTTCCTGGATTGCAGGAATAAAGTCCTTCCAATGTTTTTGTAGACTACCAGGCCCAGGAGGATGGTGGGAGGGGGAGTAGAAGAGGGTGACAAAGCTTCTTGCTGATTCTTGTACCATTTCTGCACATTTTATGGCAGGAAGCTGAGTTTAGGAAGGTTTTTCCACGTTCAAGTAGTTTCTATCTCTGAGGCCTCTTCTATAAAGTTAGCAACAGGACTGAGGAGTAAGAGTGGGAACAGTTTATACTCCCCATTTGCATCTTCTGAGAGCAAGGGCTGGTCACCCATTCCCAGTATATCTGGAGGCTCGGCTTGGTTTGCTGGAGCTCCCACTGAGGAGGCTATTTCACTACTTGAGGAAAGAGAAATCATGGGTTTCTCCTCCAACGGGGTTAGAAGGAGATCTTTAGGATCCTCCATCTTTCCTGAACTTTCAATTGAAGGCAATTCTTCGAGAAACGAAAGCAAAGGATTGCCCCTGTACTGTATCACCTGCATGTCTGTTGAAAAAAAAGACAACAAATCAAAACTAGTAAGATTGATAAGAGGTGCAAGAGTAAGGTCTTATCCAAAAGGAATACAAGGAATTACTTGATAAGTTCTTTACTTGGAAAAACAAACAAACAAACAAAAAAAACCAGACCAGCATGACCAAATTTTGAGCCACAACCAAGAGGATCCAAGGACTGCAATTAAAGCTTGCATTAAGTAAGTAGGATGTGGCAGACTGTCTTCAGCCTGATGATAATCACTGGGTGCATCAACACATGTGATTATGGTGAAAGAATAGACACACCTGGGAGCAATGTACATGTGCACCCAGGGTAGCAACAATTGAAGCTGGGGCGGAGCAGGGTTGGGCTGGCAGGGGACACATGGGGCCAACTCTGGGCTCTGGTGTCAGGGATGGCTGGGGCACAAGGATGCCCAAAGTGCAGAACCATGTGGCTATGCAACAGGCAGGAGTCTGGCTACCTGCTGCTTGGGCTGACTGGGTGCAATTTATGCCCAGTCAGCATCCACACGTGTGTTAATTACTCCACCATAAGATAATACTGTCCCTGACAGTGCTATCTTACAGTGGTGTTTAGCTTCCCACAGTCTAATAGTGTCACACATGTAGACTGTGACACTTTACTTTGTAGCAAATTAGGCTACTGCGCAGTAAAGCATGTGTAGATGCAACCACTGAGTGTAATGCATGCACTGGAGTCTAGCCTGCCTGCTGGCTATTGTTACATTATTTAGATGGTCTCCCTTGCTATTCTCCACAGTTGCTGTTAAATTTTAAAACTCGTTAATTCAAACACATTATGTCATTTTCTGTTTCTTCAACCCTGTAAGTGGCTGTCTGTCCTCAAATCTTCAAATCTGAAGACATGCTAGGCCTTGAAGGTAGTGAATTAAAGGAAGTTTTCTCTTCCTGTTCTCTCTCACTCTGAATCTAGTCACCTTCTCACCATCTGCCCCTGCTGCACTCCTTTCAACTTCATACCTGCTGCCAGGTTGCACCCTCTGCATTGAGCAACTCTCATTTTTCATTTAATCAAGGTTCATCCTTCTCCCCAACATTCCTCCTTTTGTGAGGCTTTCCATTTCTCTCTCATTGTGTATTTGAAGTTCCCCTGCCTTTCCTATTAAGTTAAGGCAGAGACCAAGGCAGTTCCTTAGGCTGGGAGCATGTACTCTAAGTTTAAAGTGCACTAACCACGCTCCATTACAGGCATGGATGGAGCAATGTATTCTTCAGAGCTGTAACCTGAGCCCCACTTCCATTAAGAATGGCAGCTGGTCTCCTCTCCAATAACACCAAGGTGGATTAGCATGTGGCCAGGGCAGATGGGAAAAGGCAACAATGAAATCCAGAATCCAAGAAAATGGTGCTACCTTAAACCCTCAAGAGATTCAGTTTAGTCTATAAATTCCCACAAGCCATCAACCCCCTCCCCCCCACAAAAGCCTTAACCATAGAACAGATTGGCTCACAAATATAGATGTAATGCACACTAAGAAAGCTACACACTAATTTGTTTGCAGCATAAATTGTAGGCAAGTTCCCAGGATTTGTCTGCTGCCCACCTTTGTTTCCTGATGTTTCCCCCTCAGTTGCTGCTAGCTCTTCAGTGCTGTCGGGCAATTTCTCAAGCTAAAGGGGAAGAAAATACATAGTAAAGCATCATGTATAGTAGTATTTTTTTTTTTTATTAGCAAGTTAAATGAAGAGGACGTAAAGGAGAGGACAAGCACTCACATCATTAATCAAAACCCATATATACTTCCTCTCCCTGTAAGCTCTCATCAATCCGAATAAAATGAAAGCAGGTTTTCATCCCCCCAAAGAAGTCTATTAGCCGCCAATGAGGGCATTGGGGGGAAGGGGGTGGAGAAAATCAGATAGGATTGGTGCTACATGGATGAAAACGTTCCCCATCCAATTTTGGAAGAATCTGCTTTGTAGAAAAAACATTCCCCCATACAGATTTATTTCATCCTAAAACAGGAAGCTCTATTATTCAGCATGATGGCCCATGATAGAAATGTTTTAAGTAATATTTGAAAGTTAAATCCAGCTGATAAAAGCTGCCAACATTTTACTCCGAGTTATCTGATCCAAAAAACAAACTGGCAAAGAAGTTTGTTTGAAAAACAAAAGGGTTCTTTTTAAAAGTTTGTATAATGAGAATCCATATTCACACAAGTTGTCACGGCAGAAAAGGAATTTAAGAACTAGTCTAATGAAACCACGCACACATGGCAGGTGTCTCCCCTCAGAAATATACTGGGAAGATGCATATGATAAAAAACAAAAACAAAAACAAAAAACTTTATTGGGGTTTTCTGGTCGCTGTGAAGATATAGCATAAAGTTTTTCAGCAAATATGTCTTCTTTATTCCCCTCAGTTTGCTCACACCCATGCTAACCAGATGTTAAAAAAAGTGATCTTGTTTCAAAAGCTGATCAGTCCCACTGGTTCTTCAATGCTTGAGAATAATCAAAGTACAAAAACCCAAGCCAATGAACTGTGGTTAAATACTTGCCATTCATTTGGTTTCAGTGTTCTTAACGTACGTTGGGACTTTTTTTTAGCTCCATTAATCACCAATGAGCTGAGAGCTAGGAATATAAAGTACTGTCCAGTGCACACAGATGAATGAGGGGTGTAGGCTGCAGCCATGCTGGTCTAAAGACATAGGCAGACAAGGTTCTTTGGGTAAATCCAATATCGTTTATTAAACCAACTCAAATAGTTGGAAAAAATATTCTTAGGAAGTTTTTGGGCAAAAACACCCTTCTCGTCAGGCTGAGAAAGTGATGCTTCCTCAGCCTGATGAAGGGTGCTTGTGCCTGAAAGATTGCTAAGAAGAATTTTTCTGACTATTTGAGTTGGTCTAATAAAAGATATTGGATTTACCCAAAGAACCTTGTCTTCCAGAGATGACTGATTGATTTTTGGAATTCCTTTCTATTCCACGGTAACTTATTTGTAAATAGGTTCCCCTACTCCAATATTTCCCCAGCTGCATTCAGAAATTAAATGTTACACATGGCAAAATGAAGGCATAAATAGTAGGGCTGTGCGAAGCTTTGGGTGCTTATTTGGAGGAGCTATGGCCCGTTTCAGCCCCTGAATCTCCAAATCTGAATCAAATCGGGGAGTAATCTCCAAATCAATTCAGAAAAGTTTCCAAGAGCTTCAGTGATTTGGGCAGTCTCTGGCTTGCTGCAGCAGGGAGCTGCCATGCCAGTAAGTAGGGGGCAGGTGGCTGGAGGAGCAGAGAGGGGGACCATGCGGAGGACCCCTGCCAGGCCCCACCCCTGCTCCCCCAAACCCTCTTAGTATCCCCCGACCCCTGCCCGCTCCCCCAGTCCTGCCATGGCTGTCCTGCTTAGCTGCAGCTCCCAGTTGTTTAAAAAACCCCACTCACAGGCTGCTGCTAGTCAGGGGGGCGAGCCCTGTTGCCCCCTGCTGCATGAGGGGCTCTGTCACGAGCCCCCCAACCTTCACCCTCTCTCCCAGCCCCCCATGGTTGCCCTGCCCACCTCAGCTCCCAGCCCTTTAAAAAAAACAAAAAAACCCCAAATCCCCCCCTGAACTCAATGGCTGCTACAGTGGCCTCGGAGTTTCTTGGGGCTTGTGACAAAGCCCCCCTCCCCACAGCGTGGGACAGCAGGAGGCAGCAGGAATTGCCCCCTGCCTGGCAAGAGCCAGTGAATCAGGGCTTTTGTTTTTTGTTTTTTTTTAAAGGGCTGGGAGGTGGGGCAGACGGGGCAGCTGTGGGGAGGGGGCTGGGAGAGCAGGCAGGGGCCAGGAGGCTCGTGGCAGAGCCCATCATGCATTATGGGACAGTAGGGGGGCAGTGGGGATTGCCCCCTTGCCTGGCAGCAGCCAATGAGTGAGGACTTTTTTTTTTTTTTCTTCAAAGAGCCGGGAGCTAGGGCTGGGCAGGGGATGGAGCCTGTGTGATGCTGAATCTCCAAATCTGATTTGGCCGAATCAATTCAAGACAGCAATTCAAATCACCGAATTGAATCACTGTCCCCCGAACTGGCTGAATCCAAATCCGAAGCGAATACTAGCCATTTCACACAGGCCTAATAAATAGAAGCGCAACATTTTTCAAATAAAGTACATTAACAAGGCATATAACAGGCATCACAAAGTGCTTATGCAAAATGCAAACACCTGAGAATTTAAAAAACAGATCTGGTTTGATTTCAAATTCATGGTTATTTGTGCCTTTCCACCAAAGGAAAAAACAAATGTATAAAACGCCTTATTAATTGCCAGTCAGCTAAGATTCATCCCTTTTGTTCATCACCTCATCAATCTCTCTCACCACTTACATTCTCTGCACTGGAGGAAGCATCCATCAAATTCGCATCCAAGCCTAGAAGTTCTGGATTGCAGGTCTGAAGAAAAGGGACAGGATGTGAGATGTCTTCACAGAAAATCATGAGACTATGTAGGATCACAGAAGAGAGAAGGGAGAGTTCACACTGCAAAGGGCATCCTTGGCTATAGCAGGACACTCTCCTGTGTGTCACACTAAATTGTATTTACTTTATTGTAGAGCCTTCCAGCTTAAAAATCTAGAAGCATTTAGAAATTTTTCTTCACAAGCCTAGAATGTAAGACCTTTTTTTCACTTCTATCAGCAGCACTAATCTCCTATCAACCCCTAATCTTAAATACACCCATTATAAACAAACACTACCCTTCCCAATATATGGAAAGCAGAGAAAAATACGATACATAGTAGGTGCTTTTATGAGTTACTATATGGCACCACACTTTAGTCCTTCCTTTTGGAAGTACTAAAGCACAGATCAGTACAGGCAATTACTGGACCATGCACAAGGGTAGATGTTGTCACTATGTTGTCGTAGCAGTGTGCTATACCCAGGGAGCACACCTCTACAGCAATGTAGCTGGTGATTACGTGCAGACCTACATGATTGCTACATTGCCGTAGTGCGCTGTATGGCGATGCATAGATGCGCCCAGTATATCAGTGATACTTAAGAGTGCTGTGTTTCTCTGGAATGCCATAAGATCCTTTCCAGGGTGCTGAAGTGAATCACATTAGGAAAAGCTACACTTAGATTCATAAGATAAAACCAGAGATTTCCAGTGTCGAAAGACATTTTGACTTGTGGTCTTTGGAGAAGAGCTGTTCTATTATTTTTCTACAGCCAAGAAACAAACGAAAGCTAAGAGCCTGCATTGTTTCCCGAGGGATGCCTTAAATCTAATTAAGTTAAAAAAGTCCGCAAATGGAAATGGACACTTACATCGATATATGATTCAGAGCCAAAATTAAATTTCTTCCCAGATAGCATTGCTTGGAGCTCCTCAAGGCTGGCATCAATACAATTCAGGAAATCCTGAATCTCTTCCCTGGAAAAAAAAAATTAATACAAAATGCAACCATATGCCAACTACAGAGCAAGGTAGAAAGAATTCTAGCAAATGAGCTAGTTGCCAAGTATTCATTATAGCCGTGGGGAAAAAAACAGAACTCCATACAATAAAGGCAGTCAGGACCTAGAACAGGTTCTTGTTAGCTACACAAAAAAGTCTCCTGGTCTCCCACCCCACAATTCAGTGTCTGGCACTATACAGTCCTATCTTACCAAACGCACACTGAACAGGCTGGTGAGACTTAACAGGTACCCTGGAACAGGTGGGAACTTAGATTTGTCACTGGTATTTTGGAAAATTACTTTTTCCATCAGATGTCTCTTTCATACTAGATTTCTATTCCAGTATGTATGAGAGAAGGAAAGTGGGAGAGAGAATAAGATACTGTCAGGACCCCAATGGTATAAGCATGGCTAATTTTCCATTAAAAGTAGAGGTAAAAAGGCATTCTTGCCATGTAAAACTTGGCTGACAATGGGCTTAGAGGAGTTTGGGCTGAAACTGAAGCACAGCAAGATGGAATGGATGGTAGGGGCTTGAAAAGGAATGTATGTATGACCAGGTATGTAGGACTCCTATACTCAAGACCTGAAGCAATGAAGCAAAAGTGGCAATGTAAGGGCACTTGTTTCACTGCCTACTAAAGATAAAGCAGAGGCTTGTTTTCAGCCACCAGTGCTAAAGCATTCATAGCCAACTTGCTGATCCAGAACTGACCAATGCTGCTCATGACTCTCTAATTAGTTATTTCGCTTACATCAAGCACTACAGGGAACAACTGGTAAAGGACCCTTAGAACCAGCACTTGTGCAAGTAGTTCCAGCAGCTGGCACTATTACATGATTTTTTTTTTTATCACCTTCACTGGCTTCCCATTTCCTGTTGGGTGCACATCAAGATGCTGATTTCTTTTTTAAAGCCTTCTTATATACAGTATGAGTCCTGACACTCAGAAACTACCCCATTCCCTGCAAGAAGGAATCTTTCAAATTTCAACATCCTTACAGAATGACCCTCAGCTAGACATCTGCTCCACCTGCTCAGCAGGCACAGTTTGTTGGGTTTGAATGCACGGTACAAGATTCAGCCCTTTTCCAAAAAAATTTGAAATTTTTGAAGTTATGTTTAAGGGAGGAAACAGAGGAAATATTATCATATTCCATTATCTACAAACCTCTAAGACTCCTTTATAACCTCCAAGATGCCTTTATAAAATCAACACAAATGATAAGAATACAAGCATGTATCGAAATTGTTAACACCGTATTCCATACCTGTCCAACAGACTATCACTTTGGGTTGCAGAGCTGCTCTCATTCAAGATAGACTCTATCATGGAAGCAGGGTCTTCTGGAGAATTAGTCTGTGGAGCATACAACTCTACCACATCCTTTTCTATTTCACAAGATTTGCTGCCATTGTCAATGACCTGAACTGGACAATGTGGTTCCACAGGATGGAACTCAACAGACGGTGATGCTTCCTGGGCAGTTGAGTCTGACTGTTGAACTGCTTGGGTCTCTCTGGGAAATACAGTGCATAATAAAATGAAACTTAGAATAGCTCAGCTTCTGCAGTATGTCTCACTGTAGGTTTAATATTTCAAATGTCAACGCCTTTTCTGATTTAAGGCCAAGTCCTGTGAATTCACAAATAACCTGGTTTCTTTGTAAGAGATTACAAAACACAGAAAATGCTTTCATCATAGACAATCAGTTCAGCAGAAAATTCTACTTTGCCAAAATGGAAGCGTCTGAAGGTGGGGAAACAGTAGTGCCCCACACGTCCTCCTCCTCCAAAAAAAAATTGGGGAACATGATAGTTAGACCCTTGAAATTCCCAAGACCTGAAGCAGGGTCACACATTTGGCATTGGATATTAACAGCAGCTATCCAGGATAGGGGACACAGGCAGGTTTGCAGAATCCAGGCTTTACATAACACTTAGTTTAGTCACAAACTGTTTTCACCGGGGACCAACATCCTTTTCCTGACACTAACTAAAATGAACAACAAATGCTGGTTTCCTTCTTTCTTAGTTTCCAATACCTTAAGCTTTGCTGCATTTTGTAAATATCTGTCAGGCTACAGAGTTTTTAGTTCATTTGGGCTAATATGATGCAGGCTCTGAAGCCTTTCTTTCATTGTGGTATGACACTCTTGTACTTGTTTCTTTTATTGCTCCTCCCAGACATTCTACAAGGGTCTGAGGCTGAATGCACAAGAGTTTCTTCCCTTTAAACAATTTGTTCTGCATAACATGGTCAGCTAACTGCTATTAGCACAGTACTAATGTGCCATATCTCCCTATTTTGCCAAATGCTTCAGCATGTTCTTAATTATTAAGTGAGCACATGATTGGACTGAATTAAATTCAAGGTTTGAACTTTGATTCAAAATGAAGCTATCTGCATTCATGAAAGAAAGAAAAAGCTCTAAGGCTGTTGCTAAAAAAAGGCTTCTGTGACACACCAGAAAGCTGATTCTTTAACACCTTAACCTGGGAGTACATAGATGTATTTGAAAACTGAGATGGGCTATTCCATTTTTATGTTCAAGAAATAAACACAAGTGTTAAACAGGACTTAGGTGCAAACCATTTTATGTTTTCATTCATACCCATCATTTCCACTCGTGTGCTCTACTGCAAGCAACCCTTCTGTGGCACTGTCCAGAGTGTTGGTGACATCTCGAATGATGATGCCCTTACCATTATCATCCTCACTGTCTGAGGTATGTCCAGAAATAGCTACCTGCTTGGTAGAGGAAACAATAAAAAAATAAATCAGTGATTTGGCCTATTCAGTGCCAGGTCTTCATTCTTACTGCTAATGTTTATTTTCCCATTCAGATTTTTCTATTTCCATCGTTTTGGAGACACATAAATGGTTTAACTCAGGGGTGTTAAACTTACCCAGCTCCTGGGCCAGATGAGTGGTATGGGATTAGTCTACAGGCCTGATCAGGCCACTGACTCCCACTTCCTCCCTTTTCCCCCTCCCTCTCCTGCTCACCTCCATACCTGTCCAGCAGCTGCTGCAGCTAGTCTGAAATCTGTGCTGCATGTGCCTGAAGCAGTCAGAAGTGCTGCTGCTTACAGTACAGTCTGGCCAGAGCAGCAGCTGTGCTGCATATGGTGGCTGCCCAGGCCAGATAATGGTCACATGATGCCTGTTGCAGCTAGTCCAAGACCCACACTACACATGGTGCCTGTGAGTGGTGTGCTGGCTAGATCCAGCCCGCAGACTGGCCCTGCGTCCCATACGGGTCTGCTCAAACCCAAGGGCAGTGACAGGGGTTGGATGGTGGGGCTTTGCAGGCTGTGCATTTGACACCCCTGATTTAACCCTTTGCAAATCAGATTCTAAAGTATTTAACTACAGCTGAGAATATTCATGTTTATAAGATCATTTATTAGACTGTATACCCATGAGCACATCTAGCCCAGTGCTCCTGTCCCTGTCAAAACTTACTGTTTCACCATTCTCCACAGGTATGCGAACATATTGACAGCTGTATTTGGAAGGTGAAGCACCTGAAGCATCTGTCAAAGACCTGAGAAATGACAATACACTCTTAAAGCATGATTAAAATATAATGTAATTTTTAGCAATGTCTGATTTCAAACAACAAACAAATAGCAGCTCTTGCTGAAACTACCTAGTTTTGTGAAGACAGGGATGCTATTTAAGTGACACAGAACAATCAAGTAGGTCATTTTCCAGCCCTCCTAGAAAGTGGATGAAACTTTCAGTGCATACTCTGTTCACCCTGTCAAGTGCAGGTGGTAGAGAGAAGTGATCTTAAGATTTTCAAGACTTTCAAATCTATGTCTGGGAAGGGGTGAGGATTTGTTTAAACTTGGTGATTTTATACCATTTCTACTTAAATTGTACAACTCTAGATATTCCCTCCCCCATCTTTTCACAGTCCATTTTTAAGAAAAATAAATCAGCAAACAGGAAATTTTGGATATAAATTTTGGTATGTACTTGCGTTTTTAGTTATCTTTAAAAAAGCAGACTTCCATTGGTTGATAAATACAGCTTTCATTCTGAATTTGGAGCATTTTTTTCTTAGCTGTACATGTGTATTTAAGAAAACAGCTTAAGATTTTTTTTTACTATGTCTAAAAATAGTTAACGATTTTTTTTTTTAAACTAGATGGCTTTTTCTATACTCCTGGTTTGTACTTACCTCTATTTAGATGTGAGCTGACACTGTTCAATATTCAGAAAATGCGTTTTTAAACTGTTTTATTACACTTTTTTTTTTTTTTTACATATGAATGTATTTTTTTTTAAAAAGTACTGTGTTTTGTATTTAAGACTGATTTATTAAAATAAACTATAGCGCATTTATACACGTACTTTTCTGTCCCAAACCATACCCGAGATCTGCCGCTTCGGAATTGAGTTTGCTCCATATGTGAGCTGAGGTGAACTGCACTGCACGCATTTGAGTAAGTGACAAAAAGCGTGTCAGCGTGTAGAAAATGCCAGCAGCATGCTTTTGAACCAAAGCACCTCCAATGTGTTTTAGTTCAAAAGTGTACCACTGCCATTTTCTTGGCAATGATGCGCATTTTGCCGCTTATATACAACTGCAAGCGTTGCAACACCGGGCTCTTTTCAAAGCACCCAGCTCTTGCATGTATAAAAATACCCACTGTGTTTAGAGGAAATTGAACCAATTGTTTCTGATCAATGTTTTTCAAAATGTTAGGAGTTGGTCTCATTCCCACATCTAATTTATATTCATAATTTTAAAGAGAACAAGGTCTCCCAAATTTGAACATTCTAGTCATTGCACTAAACTAAAGTTAGCATTCTCTCTGTACTTCCACTAAATAAAGTCAGGTGCTTCATCAGCAACTTCTACCAGCTTATTGATTTGATTTTCTTGAACTCTACAAATATGTACTGCTTTAATAGTATTTCAACAGAAACATTTGTGCAAATGCCTGAACTTAAGAAAATTCTTTTTTTAATGAACTTGTTAAACACCTGACAGTTACCTTTTCCTCTTCACTCCCACAATATAATTTCCTCTCATCAAACTTAGGATAAATTGTAGGATCTGAGAAAACAGATGAAAATATAATTAGCACACAGACTAATATCCAGATTTGACTCAGTACAATTCTGTACAAGCATAGATAAATACTATGATATACAAAGCATAGCTATAGAATTAGTGATGGATTAATTGTAGGTAAATTTAATGCAGCCAATACCTACTTGTACTGGCCTTCATACTAGGAAAAAAACCCCCTGAATTTGCCCCCCAAATTAAATTATCCCAGTTAGGAATACTTTTAACCCTCTCTTCTGAACTTAAGATTGATAAGGTTTGTGGAATACTGGACTCAGGCTGCTTGCAGATGTTTAAAAAAAAAAATTGCTTTACCAGAAGCTCCTGAGTTACTTCAACCCAGCTCTGCAGCATCTGTAAAGATTAAGCAGTTCAGCAGGGCTTTTTTGATCTTTTAGCTGAAGCTGATTCAATCAGCTATTAGATAACAGCAGCAAAAAAGCCCCACTAAAGCACTCGATCTTTACAGACACAGGGTGAGACAGGCTGAAGTAATGCACTGCCTCTTTTGGGCATGCATGGGAATGTGCCATATTTAAAGTAAAGTGCCATTTCTGGGTGTTTTTTTACATCTGCCAGCACCACCAGTGACCAAGCTGGTCTGTTCCAGACCTACAATCCTCTCTGATCGACCAACATCCAACATTAACTATCATCAGGGACAGGACAGCAGACAAGGGAGCTGCTTTACAGAAGTGATTCCTATATTTGAAGCTTCACAATTTCTCACTGGCTTTGTTAATTTCAACGTTAAGTATGCTCTGAATCTCCAAGATCTAATCCTACTTTCCCACAATTCCATCTTTCTGCTCGCCACTCAGAACCCTGCCATACCCAAACTGCCATCTGACACAGGGTCTATGAGGCCTCACAGTAAAGAAACAGATTAACCAGAGATTCACCCTGCTGTCTGATGGTCTTTGCTCCAAAAGATTCAGCCTCTGTCTTTTTTACTTTTTTTTTTTTTTAAAGACACGGTTAGTAGGGCTGTGTGAAGCTTTGGTTGCTGATTCGATTGAGCATAACCAGTGGCTGAATCTCTGAATCCAAATCGAATCAGGAGACCCTTTAATCTCGCTGAATTGAATCAGAACCCTTCAAATCAATTTGGAGAGATTTGATGATTTGGACACAGACAAAGCTTTAAAAGCTTTTTTTTACATACCTCAAGATACCAGGCAGCTCATGAATGCTATGATGCTGGGGTGGATGAAGTGTTCCACGGGAGCATGGGGGGGCTCCCTAGCATGCTCAGTGGTGGCCCCAGGAGAGGACCAGAAGTACTTCTGGTCCACTGCAGACCACACGGGGGACCGTCCCCCCACCCACCCAGCAACTGGTGCCTCCTGGGTCTGGGGGTCACCCAGCATCCCCCCGCAGCTGATCACCAAGCTGGGCGGATGTGTGTGTGTGTG